CTGTATCACGAATACACATCAAATAGTTTTTGTGCAATGGTTGCAATTTTCTAATTTCGACTATGCGTAATGTATGCTTTACGCATGCGCGCGTTGTTCATAAATTACGGTTTCATATTTTTAATTTTATAATTTCTGCATGCCATCTTACCAGATTTAAATTGATGATCTATAATCCGGAATCGCCGAAGTCCCGACGAGTCCGGATTAAAAACTTTTGACTGTATACACAATAGCACATAATGCACGAATTTTGAATGCATTAAAAAGTTATTTTATTTATTATAATTATACCTATTATTATAATAGCTATAATTATATAATAGTCAGAAATTTCAAATGAGGGAGGAAGATTGCTTAATTTTTTCTACAACAGAAATGCTTCCGGTAGAGTTCACTTCATTAGAAAGTAGTAGATATACCATTATTCCACCGACATTGCTTTTCAGAGTAACAAAGACTCTAGCTTTCTATCTTTCTCTAGACTATCCTAACTTTAAGAGGATACAAAGACTTATTCACGCACATCCTGAGAAATTCATTCTGAGTCATTCATTCTCAGAACAACACCTAATGTTATGCTACAAAAAAGTTATGCGAGCGCTACGATGCTCTATACAGGATGCAGCCAAGCCCAGGAGCCTGAATCACGCGATGTTTCGCACCTAAGCCTTCATTACAAATGTACAAGTGTTTGGAGAAAAGAAACTCAATTTTTTTACACTTTCTTCTAATTTATGCTTTCTTTTTTCAGGGCGACCCATATTAAGTGATTTGTATTAACTCGATACAAGTTAAAGCATGATAGCATATATGAAATAGTATATGCTGGTAACATAACACACAGCAACACACACATATGTATAAGCTGGTAACTAAACACACAGCAAAATTTGTAGGAAAAACATAGACTTTAGATCTGATCCATTACTTTTCACTTTCTCATGAACAAATTGGGCAGATCTCTCCTAGTTTATTTCCAAGGGCTGTTTGGACCTCTTATAGTGATTCCTGCAATTTAGTAAAATGCCTCGGTTCTATTCGTCGACACGCCTTTGTTTTTAAACAGAGAAAGAGAGCAAAGAGTATGTGCCTATGTTTTGTATTATTTTAAGATGTTTATCTTTTTGCTTAAAAAGGAACATAAGCTTTAAAACTTTAAAAAAAAAAAAAAAAAAAAAGCACTTTTAAGAATTTTGCAAAAATCGATGTTCTGCACTATAGAATTTAAAATTAAATAACTATCATTTTAAAATTTTAGGCCATTAATCTGATTATATGATGTAAATGAACCAGAAAAAAAAAATTAACGATATTTTCGTGTGCCTTTCCGATGACAACGATCCCATTTAATATTAATATTGAATTTTTTTTTTCTGTTTTGCATTATAATCTAAAAGTAAAATGCATTTGTTTTTAATAAACATATTAGAACTATTATGTAGAACACATGTTTTTGAAAAATAAAGCCCATGCCAATAAATTTATTTCCCTCGGAAAGGGATGTTGTTGATTCGTGGTTTCAGCTTGATGTCAACACTATAACATCTTAGAATTACATCAAATTTTTATCATTATAATTAATATTTCATATATGCTTTCTAGTGTTTATATAAATCAGTATGGAAAAGCATACAAAGGTTATCTGTCTATGGGAAAGGATTTCTAAGGGAAACTGGATCGTATTTACCTTATACACAAGAAAAACAATAAAAGTTCATTCAGCTCGTTCCCTGATGTTCTAACCTATGTCGAACTAACACTGTTGAGCAATCTTATGCATTTTGCCCACTAATAAGCTATGTACATTTTTCATTCTCTTTAAATTCACTATTACAGGTATACTTACTTTTAATCGGCAATTATCTGATTATTTGTTCCAAACACAGATGCACACAAAATAGACAAACACATTTGAAAGCTTTCAAAATTTATATTAAGCCCAAAGGGGCATTTTTTAACATTTTGTGTGTTACCTTTGTTTAATAAATATCATGTTAAGCTATAATAACACGCCGAACAAATATTAATTTAGAAGTCAAACAAAAAACATCAGTGTTAATGCTGATTTTTGTTGTTTGACTTCTAAATAAATATCATGTTCTTTGCACTTAAAGCATAAAATTCAATACAACAGCAGTACCACAAAACAAATTAAAAGGAGCATACCTTTCGAATTTCCAATACACAGTCTTGCACGCCGGAGATAAAAATGTTTGCCTCCCCAGTACAGTATTGCCATTGCTCGCTTTGAAATGGATGAGTTTCTTAATCGATAATTCATTAAAGTTTTACAAAATATGAAATAGATAATAAAATAAATTCTAAACTCCAAATTTGGGCTTCCAGATTACTATATTCGAATTCCAGATTACTATATTCGAAGGACTACGGTATTCATAATTTGAATACATCTCTAGGCACCCTTGTTTTTCAAAAAATGACAAACATGCATACATTCATTCAGATTTTTCATTATTTAATTTCTTTAAATATAATTCAAGGCTCTAATATTTGGTAGCAACATTTTGAAAAGTGAAACACAGTTTATACTGAACCAACGCAAAATGCCAAAACGAAATTAATAGCCCTTCTGTGCAATTGGATTCTTTGGGCTAATAATAAAATAAAATAAAATACTTTGCAGCGAATGAACTATCTGCATATTTAACAGCAATCATATTAAATCATTTTAAATAACAATAATTTAAATTGCTAGATGACTAATAAAATAAAATTTATTGCACTGAAATCATCGAAGTTGACATGCTCTCTACATTATTCCCCCCAAAAAAGGTTAATAGCTTTGCTATATTTATTGACTTAACTGAATTTCAAAATTAATGGAAAAAACAATCATTCAAAACATGTAAAAAAAAATCACTCACTGAGTTTCCTTCCCTCCTTTGTGCAATATTCAGATAATAAGTGGCAAATCTCAAAATGAAAAACCCCAACTTATTTTTTTTTTCTTCTTCTTCTTCTTCTTCTTTTTTTTTTTTTTTTTTTGTGTGTGTGTGTGTGTGTGTGTAAATACTTAGTTTCTTTTAAACATTATGCTTTTGAATGCTTGGTTTGAAACGAAAGAGCCTTTTTCTTCTTTAGTGACATTAAGCTTGATACCTAGAGGGAAAGTGGTACTGGATATGGAGGACTATTCAAAACTGTAAAAGAACAAAAGCTTTATGACTTGAAGGTGTCACACAGCCTTCAAGTATTTTCCGGCCACTTGTTTGCTGGGAAGGATGACTTTTCCAGATCTTACTTTAAAATGGAAAATTGTAGATTTCCCATTGTTAATCACATGAATTTGTTTGGGGGTAGGGGAGCTGGAAAGCAATAATTTAAAAACTTAAGGCTTATCTATTGAAAATTAATTAGCACATTTTTTTAAGCATAGGTACTTGTGAAGTAAGAGGGCGCCTGAGCACTCCTCTGGCTACGCGCCTGCAATTTTATTGAGAGTAAAATTGAGACAAACACAATTAAAATAATAAATTAAAAAATTTATTTACATACATGCAATTTTATATTAAACTAGCAGCTTTGCTGCCAGCCTTTGTCTGGCTTTTAAATGTACCAGAAAAATGGCTGAAGGGAACACCAAACGTTAAATTTGAAAAACTGCGCGAATAGAATTTTACTTCTGCAAGAACAACTTCGTCAAAAAAAATATTTTTTCAAATGTATTACATATAACAAAATTACAATGAAATAAGCAGTATCCCTTAATACAAATATTAGTAATTCTAATAAATAAATTAACCAACTTCTCTTTGCAAAATCTTCAGAACTCAAATAGTATAAAGAAGGTTAAGAACTATGTTTCCTAAAAAAATCACTCAAAACTTTTCAATATCTTGAAAACAGTGAAATGAGCAATAAATAACATAAAAGAATACAAAAAACTCTGAAAAGCAAAGTATAATTAATGATATTTTATCTTATATTTTCAAGAGAAAAAAATTACAATGAAATAAGCCCTTAATACAAATATTAATTATCCTAATAAAAAATTAACCAACTTTCCGTTGAAGGAAAAAAATCATGCAAAACTTTTCAGTATCTTACAAACAGTGAAATGAGCAAAAAATAACATGAAAGCAACTCAAAAAACGTAAAATTCCGCGCAGAATTTTACTCTGCAGAACAACTTTATATATATATATATATAAAAAAATAATAAAATAAAAATGTACTATTATATATATATATATAAATGACAATGAAATATGCCAATCTCTTAAAAACAGTTACATACGAAATACAACGAAAAATTGTTGCCAAACCCATATTTCTAAAAGAGTGAAACTCTTCAAAATGATGCGATTTCATCAAAAATCTATCAACAACAATAAGACAGGAAAATTGTTGTCAAAACCACATTTTTAAAGATGTGAGAAGTGTACTCAGAAGTTTCATTTAAAAAATTCTTTAAAAATACAAAATATTAGCATGTTTCCAAAATTCTTTTTGTAACAGCAGTCGCAAGAATGAAAGTTTAATGTGTCCAAAAATCAAAGAAAAATAAACTGTACATTTTTAAAAATAAACTTTTTTAGAAAAAATCCCATTGAAAAGGTGTTAAGCTGCCTTTGTTAAATAAATTCGTATTTAATCGATTTATTGAAACACGAAATTTATTTTAAGTTTGTAAAATAGCTAAGTGCCTACGTTTCATGACGATGTGAAAATGGTGTAGAGTAAAATCTCGCCCATTATGTCTCAAAATGACGCGATTTTGTCACAAAACATAAAATAAAAAAAATTATAATCCGAATTTCGAAAAAATCACTTAGGTGCACTAGCTCTTGTCTAGATGCACCTATCTACCAAGTTTCGTAGTCGTGGGTCTATTAGCTTACGCGCAGCATGAACGAAAGACACACACACAGAGACAGACTCTTTCTTATGTTATATGTAGAGATACATAGAAAATTTTTATACCATTACAAAAGAATAAACAGATGATTATTTCTTTTTTATACAATCACAGAGAAGGACAAAGAATATTTTAATTAAAGAGGCTTGAAATTACTGCAGTTTTATATTTTCCTTTTAAATTCAATAACTTTTAAAGTTACAGTGATTTTTATTAAAGTGTAATAAAAATAGTTTGATTAAACATTCCGTTTACATATTAGGTCAACTAATATTACAGCTCTGAATCCACTGAAATGCTTCTGTTATGGGAAAAAAAATTCTTTCTCTAAAATTCTTCTTTACATATATACTATAAGTGTATCAATTCATTTTTTCTATAATTATACTCTGTGAAAATATTCTTAAACTATTGAAAAGAATGAAATTTATTTCATTTTCAAATAGTATGAGATGGATTTTAATGTAATGCTGATTGATAAAGAAGACATTTTTAACATTAAAACAACAACAACAACAGCAAATTTTTCTAAAATAGCTAAAACAGAGGAACCTTGGCAAAAAAAAAATTATGATGGAAAAATTATAAACATTAATGAAAATAACATTTTCATAGCACATAATTTTAGCAAAAAATTACAAAAATTCTATCATTATACTTTACTGAGATCTTTATTTCACTATAAATATATAAATTTCATGTTTCAGCATCTTCTGATTTAAAAATTTTATCTCAAATCTCAGATGATGCATTAATTCTAAATTCGCCAACAATTAACTTTCACAGAATATACATGGAACTAATATGCTATTAGTTTTGTATGAAGGCTTTCTATATATAATTAACTTCTCAGATTTTTTGCATTTATATAGTTCTGTATATAGAAAGTATTCATTCTGGAACTTGATATGACTAATATGAAATAATAATATGTAAGTTAGAATTTTAATAGTGACAGCATACTGAGCTATTACAGTTGGCTTATTGTAGGAACCATAGACTTCTTATCCGGCAGTGCAATCATTACGATAGTCCTCATACCCAATGATGCAATTATTTTGCTTATCAACTTATAAGCTTGCTTTAAAATGATTTCATTGACGGATAGGATGCAACACCTATCATAGCTTTTCAGTTTATTGGCATCTAACTTTATGGGACTAAGGCCAGCCACTGAAAAACTGGTCCCAAGGTTTGTGGCTTAATTGCGTGTTTTTCTGAGACTTGGGTATTAAGTTTTAATTTTGACTGGCATTCCTTTGGATTTGCTTGCTTCAGCCACTTGTCCTGAAGATGGTTAACTTGGCTGTTAATGATGCTTGCTGCAGGGTGGTGAATTTTGCTGCATGACTTAGCAGACAACTCCTCCACATAGTCTGCTGCTTCTGCTCACCTAATCAGCTGGAAGTGATAAAAATTATAAACATGAAACAATTTGTGTAATAATTATCAAATAGAATCATCATAAATTATTTTATATTTTTAGTTATTTTTAGTTCATTTATTTATTGAACAATATAAATGTTAAAGCTATTAAAAAGCAGCAATGAATTAAAATATAAGTAACACTCATAGTGTAATAACACTAATACTACAAATACTAAATTAAATGAGTATTGGGACTTGAACCCTCTAAGCGGTAAGGCTGTATATATATATATGGCCTAGAATACTTTTTGTGATATCTGTAAGAATATACATATATGTGCATATTAAAATATGTCAAAGAAATTAAGGCAATATATCAAAAGGAAACAAATCCAGGTATGGAATACCAGGAGAGTTTTTACAATAAAATGAAAAAAATATTGTTCTCATAATAGTTTGAGGGAATTTGTGCTTTCTTAGTGAAAACCCTATCCGCTCAGAGGGTTAAAGCATTAGGAATGAACAAGTTAATAACAGGTTAGCTTTTTGAATGCATAAATTTATGTTGCACATTAGAGAAAGTTATGAAAACTTCCATGCAGCCAGTCTAAGTAATAAACATGTTTAATAATGAAATTTAATTGAATAAAAATATTAGTAATTAATGATGTGAAATTTATAGTTTTGTTCTTTTGTATTTCAGTTAATATTTCTATCGTGAAGACTATCTGGTTTAACACTGTCCACTTTCTCTTCAACAGTACTGTACATTAATTCCGAATTTTAATAAATTTTTAGCTGCTCTTTTATTCATTCACAATGATAATGGCTTGCATTAATTTCTTCTGCATAGAAATTCTGAATTTATTTCATTTATGACCTCCCAACTTTTTATACTACATTTTATCCTATAGTTCCAATATGAGGTAATGTGGTGCAAATATCCAGAATTAAATTGTTATAACAATAGTACTACAGACTGCATTAATTCTTTGTGGTACACTACTATATTCGGTGATGTGCAGAATCGCCCCCTTATTTGTTTGGCGCTTCTTACAAGAGTAGGAAGAATTGGATTTTTGTCAATTTGCTTTGACTTTTTAAGTGAAAATAGGTCGATGTGTACAAGTCAAAGGAGTGCACAATGCCATTTTTCTGCAATTCTGGGATGTTTTTTTAAGTGAAAATAGGTCGATGTGTACATGGATACCGAGTTTGTGCAATTCTTAAAAACACACCAAGCAGTGGCGATTCTGCACTTTCCCCACTATATTATCAACAATATTATTTTCATATTAGTTCCACAATAGTAACCTTGGCAAGAATTGGCGGAAAAAAAAGTGGTGCATTTTTAACTTATGCCGCGGGGAAAGTGCAGAATCACACACTGCTTGGTGCATTTATAAGAAATGCACAAACTCGGTATCCATGTACACATCGACCTATTTTCACTTATAAAAACATCAGAAAATTGCACAAATTCGGTGTTGCGCACTCCCTTTGTTCATGTACACATCGACGTATTTTCACTTAAAAGGTCAAACGAAATTGACAAAAATCCAATTCCTCTTACTCTTGTAAAAAGAGCGAAACATAACACGCCAAATAAGTGGGCGACTGCACTTCATCCGAAATTCTGACAATACTTTTGAAAATTGAGAGATGAAATGCTTCAAATAAATCTTGTCTGTATGCCTTACTCCATTAAGAAAACATAAGTACTATACAAAGAGCAAAGTAAATGTAAACTACAGCAATAATAATTCAAAACTAGTAACTCCATTAAACAACCATTTGTAGGTTACAACCATACCTCTTGCACTGCCATTGCTTTCTTTGACAGCTATGTGCACAATTTGCACATTGTATCACAATCCTCACTGTCTTTGAGCATGTAATTTATGCTTGACTAATTTATTATTATTTTGCATGATTTTAACAGTATCTTTTCTCACAGTGAAGCTGTCAAAAAGTGGTCTTCATTCTGAAAAATCTAGCAGATCACTTATTTGAATACTTGTACATGGAATTAAACATAATGTGCAAGATCCACTGTAGGAAATTTTAAATATGATTTAAAATTTGCTACAGTAATAAATATGAAAATTTGTCAGAAAACAATCGTTTTCTGACAAAGTAATATTCTTAACAGCTCAGTTTTCAGATAAAGGGGCCACAGAAATCTAATAAAAGGCAAATAAAGTATTGCTGTAAGTATAAAATATTTCTGATTGTTGTGCAATTACAGAATTAATTCAAAACCGATTTTCATAAATAACATTTATATTTAAGCTAATTTTTAATTACATTTCCGGATATTGGATCATCAGCTTAAATCTAGTAAGATGACATGTAGAAATAATAAAATTAAAAATATGAAATCGTGATTTATGAAATAATGAAGTATTTTATGATCTAAAATGTATCAAAATTTACAAGAAAAAAAAGCTTATTATTTATTTGTTTACCTTATTAAGCATATCTTTCAATGTAAATTGTTTAAGTTGCTTCGTTTTTTGTGCTAATACTTTTTCTTTAATTCTGTAGACGGACATAATCTCTTGTTTAGTTACATTGTTGAAGTCCTGTAACTGCTATGTCGAGAATTCCGACTAATTTGTTAATCGAAATTTTTTCGTTTTCAGTAACTTCTCTGTCACTTTCTTTGGGTAGCGGTTGGTGGTTTTGAGTTTTGGATTTTAGATCATTTTGGATATTGGATGTCCAGATTTCGGATTTTATACTGCATTAAGTATAATGTTTAAAAATCTAAATTTTATTTAACATATGCTTAATATTCTTTCCCTCCAAGCTTTATTTCATAAGTAGCATGTTTAAAGAGCAAAATGTAACTTATACATGTTTAACATTATTACTTTCTGCTAATGTTATGCTTAATATCATGTTAATTTTTTTCTTTTCTGGCATAAATATAAATGTAACTTTTATATGCTTATTGTCATGCTCCTTTTGACAAATAACATGTTTCAGAAGGAACACTTGATATATTTATGCTTAATATCATGTTTGGAACCCCTACTGATTAGCCATTGGTGACCTTCACAAGATAAAATGCAATATCGCAAATGAGATGTCTGCAGTATTAAAACTAAGGCAAGTATTTCAGTATTTCTGATGTAAATGAGATTAATGCTATTTTAGTTAATATACCTTCTGATATCTGGAAAAAAAAAAGTAATATTTATATCTAAACAGTTGTATCTTAATTTATGCATGCTGTATAGCACAGAATGCCGAATTAGATGCATGCTGTATAGATATTTTGGCTGATCTTTGGAATATGGTAACTGGTAGTTTGGCGACATTTTGGAGGCGATAAAGGTTACTACCTAGGACTTTGGTTATAATGTGAGAAGTACTAAGTTCCAATTACGCATTATTTTGTGTGAGGGAAATGAGAGATCATGAGATATGTCATGCGACATTAATGGACGAATTCAGTTCTTTAATCGGAAAAGGGGGGACATCGGGAAAAAATCTGGAAATTTTGTATTTAGCTTTATTGTGTGTTGTGTGAAACAGTGTTGGTTAATTTTTGGTTCCCATGGCCCTAACTAAAGTGAATTCGAAATGGGTATTTAGTGGAATTGAAAGGGGTAGTAATAAGTGTTTTTTTAAGGTTGTGCGAGATAGAAGTAAAGATGTTTTATTAAGTTATTTATTTTACCTGGTACCTTGCTGTGAACTATAAGTATGATTTTAAAGATCCTGAAACAGGCGCACTTACGCTTGCTTTTTATTTAGCGGAGGAAATAAGAAAAGTTTATCGGACACGTAATCAAGATTCTGAAGAAGATTAGGCAAGTTAGTATTTTTAATTATTTGAGGATATTATTTTTATGCATTGTTCTAAATGTAAGGAGTAAATAAAATAATACGGTATTCTTGGAAAATTGTTATTAGCAATGATTTTTATATTTTAAGTAGTGTTTTTGAATTTAATTATATTTTAATTAATGATAGTTATTTTGTGAATTATATTGTAGGAATTTGGTATACGTTTTCAGTGGAAGTAAACGTGCATGGAAATAATTTAAATATTTGACACTAAGTATTTGTAACCATTTGTAATGTTTGAAGTATGAATTCGTTGGTGACGTTTATAATATAATAGATAATTTAGAGGTAAAAGTTTTTGGATATTTTATTTATTTTATACGTGGAAATGTTCAGCTTTGGAAAGGGTATATACTTTTTCACGATCAGGTAATTTCATATATGTCCTTTTTACCGAATTTAAAGATTCACAAAATTTTCATGCATTTTCATGAAATTTTTCTAATTTACGAGAAAAAAGCAGTGTACATGGATATAGTGAAGAGTGTGCGCAATGCCATTTTTGTGCAATTCTGGGATGTTTTTTTAAGTAAAAATAAGTCGACGTGTAACATGGTTAGTGATATTTTCAGTTAAATGATAGTTATTTTGTGAATTTATGTTTGTTGTAGCAATTTGGTATACGTTTGAGTGAAGTAAACGTGCAAGGAAATAATTTAAATATTTGACACTAAGTATTTGTAACCATTTTTTAATGTTTTGTTATGAATTCGTTGGTGACGTTTATAATAGATAATTTAGAGGGAAAAGTTTTTGGATATTTTATTTATTATTATACGTGGAAATGTTCATCCTTGGATAGGGTATATACTTTTTCGCGATCAGGTAATTTTATATATGTCCTTTTTACCGACTTTAAAGATTCACAAAATTTTCCTGCATTTTCTTGCAAATTTTTCTAATTTATGAGAAAAAAGCAGTGTACATGGATAAAGTTAAGAGTGTGCGCAATACCAGTTTTGTGCAATTCTGGGATTTTTTTTTAAGTAAAAATAGGTCAACGTGCACATGGTTACCGTGTATGTGCCATTCTGAAAAACGCGGCAAGGAGTTGCCGATTCTGCACTTTCTCCCAATTTTGCAGTTAATATTTGTCATGATTAAGCAGTTTTGTTCCATAAAATTTCTAGCATAAGTGTAATTCGGCTAGTAGATTGTTGGAAAAAGTGTTCCGTAAATAAAAAGAAAAGAAATATGTCTTTACTTCGTGAAGACAAAATGGCGGTGGGAAAAAATAATAGAGGATTGTTGTAGCAGAGTTGGTCGCCAAAAAATCGCCAAGTTACCATAATCCAAAGATCAACCGATATTTTAAATACAGCTCATGAGAATATCATGAAAAATGTATTATGACTGTGCAACAATAAACTTATGGACATAAATTTTAGAAGTTACTGACTAAATATTAAAATATCTATGCTTGAAGTGCTAAATATTAAAAAAAAATCATATAAAAACTGAAGCATTTAATTATCTAAGCATTTGCAAAAATCCTCCCATATTTCCATTTTACATGAATATATTAATTAGCATTAAGGGGGGACATTTTAAATATTTATATTAAAAAATTATAATCTCATATTTTATAATTTTTATCCATTTCACCCTCAAGCCTAAATAATTATAAAAAAAAGCATTTATGATTATATTCTTTTTAAAAAATAAGGTTTATTAAATAAAATAAACAGGTTGAAGTACAGCAATGTTACTACAATAATTTCCAAAAATAAAATTTCAAAGTAATCTAGCAAATTTCTATGAAAGTTCTGCATTACAAATACCTGTTATGGGTTTTAGAAAAAGGTGTTTGTTTTGAATTAAAACCATAAAAATGGTAACCAAGTGCCAAATATTGCTAGTTTCTATTCAGTTTCAAATTTGCATTATTATGGGAACCATACGACACAATTTTTTTATGCTTCAGATATGAATAATGATAATTTTGCTTGATCTTTACAATATGGTAACTGGTAGTTTGGCGACATTTTGGAGGCGATAAAGGTTACTACCTGGGACTTTGGTAATAATGTGAGCAGTACTCAGTTCCGATTACGCATTATTTTGCGTGAGGGAAATGAGAGATCATGGGATATGTCATGTGATATTAATGGACGAATTACGGTTCTTTAATCGGAAAAGGGGGGAAATCGTGAAAAAATGTGGAAATTTTGTATTTAGCTTTATTCCATGTTGTGTGAAACAGTGTTGTGTAATTTTTGGATCCCATGGCCCTAACTAAAGTGATTCGAAATGGGTATTTAGGCATTGTGATAAAGAGAAGTTTGCTTTTTATTTAGCGGAGGAAGTATGGAGGAAAAATTTGCAGAAAAAATCTTTGAATAATTTTATTGAATGAATTAGAAAAGGGTATCCGCAACGTAATCAAGATTCTGAAGAAGATTAGGTAAGTTAGTATTTTGAATTATTTGAGGATATTATTTTTATGCATTGTTCTAAATGTAAGGTGGAAAGGAATTGGTATTATTGGGAAAATTGTTCTTAGCAATGATTTAGTTTAAAGTAATTAGGATTGTAAGGTAATTTTTATTAATTTAATGTATGTGCTCATTTATATTTTAAGTAGTGTTTTTGAATTTAATTATATTTAATGAAATGATAGTTATTTTGTGAATTTTATGTTTGTAGGAATTTGGTATACGTTTAAGTTGAAATAAACGTGCATGGAAATAATTTAAATATTTGATACTAAGTATTTGTAATACTTGCGGTATGAATTCGTTGGTGAATACTTCGGTATGAATTCGCCAAAAAATCGCCAAGTTACCATAATGTAACGATCAACCATAATTTTTTTAAATGTTTGAACACTAAGAGAGCTGCAAGTCAAACTGAGACATTTTTTTCCCTTTAGTACACAAATTTTCATACGTATAAAGTGTGGATCCTTGCAAATTAAAAATTAAGTTTCTTTCAACATTGGATAAAAAACACAGAACAGTTTTTGGCTAATCTTTGGAATATGGTAACAGGTAGTTTGGCGACATTTTGGTAAGGCGATAAAGGTTACTAGCTAGGACTTTAGCAGTGTACATGGATAAAAGTCAAGAGTGTGTGCAATGCCGTTTTTGTGCAATTCTGGGATATTTTTTTAAGTGAAAATAGGTCGACGTATACATGGATACCGTGTATGTGCAACGCGGCAAGCAGTTTTGCGATTCTGCACTTTCTCCCAATTTCGCACTTAATCTTCGTCATGATTAAGCACTTTTGTTCCATGAAAGTTCTAGCATAATCGTAATTCGGCTAGCAGATTGTTGGAAAAATATGTTGAGTAAAACAAAAAACATGCCTTTACTTCGTGAAAACAAAACGGCGTCCAAACAAAAAAATTAGCAGGTTGCTGTAGCAGGGTTGATCGCCGAAGTTTCGCCAAAAAATTGCCAAGTTTCCATAATCCAAAGATTAACCCAGTTTTTGAATAAATATTTACTATATTTGAGTTTCTTACCTGTATAGAAATATTTCCATACTGAATTCATTTTTTCAAATGTCTGCTTAGGTACTTTACACACATGGGTTGCTGTAATTGTTATGTCAGCTGACAATAGTTCTAATTAGCTAAAATGTATCAAAAAAAAAAAAAAAAAAAAAGAACTATGTGACTTGACTGCAGGTTTGCAGTATTTCATCATAAATCACATATACACACAGACACAAAGCACTTACAAGTTACAGTACCCATTATGTGACGAAACATTTAGTCATGCTTCCAAATTGCAGTATCAGAAGTATGTCAAAGTGGTAACAAGCATAAGATCACCAGAGTGCATTTTGGTAGGTAAAAGATGTAACACTGAATATGAATTATGCAAAAGCTGTGAAAAGTGCAATCCACTGTCAAGGATTCAACTTTTGGAAAAAAAAAAAAAAATGGACGAAATGTAAAACATATCAAGTCAGATTCTGAATAATAGCTTTTCAATCAAGTTTGGCACAAGCAGCTTTAGACCCTATAGGACAGACTAGTAGAAAATGTAGCTTCAAGTTAACATTACTTAAAAAGGACTTGAGGTATATCTTGTTAAATGAAGATTTTTGGAAAGAAATAGAAAGTTTTCTCATTAATTGCATCAAATGACAATTTACAAAATGCACGGAGGTTCAGCAGTACGTTATATATCACATGCTATAATGTCTTTAAAATTCTACCACTGAATCCCTCTCTTAATTCGAAGAATTTTGGCCACCATAGAATACTGACAACGGTTGTGAATGAAATTGTACCGCAAAAAAAAAAAAAAAAAAAAAGTGTTTTTTTGCTGCATGCGCAAATCTTTGCTACAATGATAAATAAATGTTGATACTAATTTAACCATCACCTCAAAAGACAGAGGACTTCTCTTTTGTGTACATAAACAAATATTTCTTCAAATTATTCTACTATCCAAATGAGTTGTTACATACATAAAATGAAAGACTCTCTTCTGCGGATATGCATATTTTACTGATCCTTTACTAAAAATGAATTTTTATATAGCACACACATGTGTTTTCTGCTCTGTGAACATGCATATGCCTGTCAAATTTACCCTTGTGACTTAAGGACTTTTTACACAACCGGATTTTCACCTCTGTGAATAAAGATATGTCTGGTTAAACTATCCTTACGACGAAATGACTTCTTACATACTTCACACACATGAGGTTTCTGTCCTGTGTGAATAAGCATATGAGTGTTTAAAGGACTCTTGTGTCTAAATGATTTCTTACATACTTCACACACATGAGGTTTCTCTCCTGTGTGAATAAGCATATGAGTGTTTAAAGAACCCTTGTGTCTAAAGGACTTCTTACATACCTCACACACATGAAGTTCCTCTTCCGTGTGAATAAGCATATGATTGTTTAAAGTACACTTGTGTTTAAATGACTTCCTACATACTTCACACATATAAGGTTTTTCTGCACTGTGAACAAGCATATGGCTGTATAATGCACGCTCCTGACTAAATGACTTCTTACAAACTTCACACATATAAGGTTTTTCTGCAGTGTGAGTATGCATATGGCGGCTTAAAGCACACTTATGACTAAATGACTTCTTACATACTTCGCACATATGAGGTTTCTCTCCTGTGTGAATACGCATGTGAGTATTTAAAGGACCTTTCTCTCTAAATGACATGTTACATATTTCACACACATGTGGTTTTTCTCCCGTGTGAATAAGGACATGCCTGTTTAAAGTAAGCTTCTGTCGAAAAGACTTCTTACATATTTTACACACATGAGGTTTCTCTCCTGTGTGAATAAGCATATGATTGATTAAAGAACGTTTCTCATTAAATGACTTCTTACACACTTCACAGATATGAGGTTTTTCTCCAGTATGAATAAGCATATGACTGTTTAAAGAACCCTTCTGTCTGAATGATGTCTTGCACACTTCGCACACATGATGTTTCTCTCCTGTATGAATTTGAATATGCCTGTGTAAACTAGCCTTTTGAGTAAATGACTTTTGACATACTTCACACGTATAAGGTTTCTCTCCTGTATGAACAAGCATATGATTGTTAAAAAGACGCTTCTGACTAAATGATTTCTTACATATTTCACACATATAAGGTTTTTCTGCAGCGTGAATACGCATATGGATGTTTAAATTACCCTTCTGACTAAATGACTTCTTACACATTTCACATACATGAGGTTTCTCTCCTGTGTGAGTAAGCATATGAGTGATTAAAGGACTCTTCTGACTAAATGACTTCTTACAAACTTCACACACATAAGATTTCTCTCCTGTGTGAGTAAACACGTGCATGTTTAAATTAAAGATTTGGCTAAATAACTTCTTACTTCACACACATATGAAGGCTTGAGGCTTGTCTCCTGTGTTAATAAGCATATGTTTGTTTGAATTCTCTTATGACAAAATTATTTCTTACATTCTTCACACATATTTCATTAGTTTCCTGTGTGAATAAGCAAACGCTAGTCTAAATTAATGATTTAAATAAAAGTCCTCTTATGTACTTCAATCATGTCACGTTTCTAGCCTATGTGAGTTAGCATATGCATGCTTAAATTACCTTTTCAATTAAATGAAATCTTACAAATTTCACACATATGAGGTTAGTGTTTGGTGTGGATCTGTATGTGCTCTTTTAAACACTGCTTGTTGAAAATGATTTGTTAGGCATCTCCAAGAACATGTAATTTCTGCACTACATTGATAACTGTAACTGACATTCTTGATATTATATAACTTGCTACATACCTCGTAATGAATTTCATCCTCTGAATGGATATAAAAGGAACTGCTGAACTGAAATTTCGGCCCAAAGTAGTTCTAAGATGGTTCACTTTAACGTTTGATGCCTCGTGTAAATACGAGTGTTTATCTTGATAAGAGAATTAATACAAGTTACTTAAAAGACATATCAGCTATTTAATATTAGAATACCTTAAGGATGCATTGATTTCGAGGTGTGCTTCATTAAAAATCACTTCTTATCGTTCATAAAAATAAGATTCCTTGCCCGACAATCTAAACATGTAACAGGAATTTATGGAATTGTGTTTTTTTTCTAGAGTTGCTAGCCAGTGATTTATATTTTGAAGAAGTTACATGTTACGTTACAGGATTAGTAACAATTGTTGAAGCTTAAAAGAAAAAAGTCACCTCCTTTTCAAGCTTTCAATACTTAAAAGTATAAATCACACTTCAGCCTTTAATTAAAAATCACATGACAGTTTTAATACTGTCCCTATCATTAAAAAACTATAACTGCGGTGATTATTTACAGAATAAAGGTTCAATAAACTTTATTGTCACGAAAGAAAACAATCCCGCTACTAGCAGTACGTTGTTCGGAATTCCTTGCTCAGAAAGACAGACAATGTAAACCAAGGAGGTTAGAATACCTCATTGATGTAAACAGATGTTTTGTTCTGCACCTCTCTAAGTCTTTCAACCCGATGGGCAAAAAATCAAAATCAAGGAGCAAGGAAGTTAATTTACGGAGTGCGTAGGCTAGGCCTTTAACTTCACATCATCAATGAAAAATAATTACACCAAAAGAGGACTTCATGTAATACGGGAAAAATTTGGAAGCCTAAAATAAAATAAATAAAAGCTTTCAGATAACGCTTTCTCCATGAGATAAGAAAAAAAAGGTAAAAACTCAAGAAGGTCTTTTTATTTAAATTTCGTGTTTTGATAAGGGCCAGAAATCAATTTTGATAGGGGCAATCATCATCATTCAGAATTTAGAATAGAAATAAAAGGTGCAAAAGATTTCCTTGATCTTTGACATCTACGATAAATAAAAATATCCCAAGTCACAAGGAGAATGGTAGGAAGAGAGCTAGCCCAAGAGCAATAAATTTGAACTCGCACCCACTCGGGGTAGCTGGGAGAAGAAGGCAGCTGGGAGACCGGTTAGTTGAGCTTTGGAAGCAAGTTAGAAGAATCAGCTGAGAGGAGGAGGGAGATTTTGGCCGCTAATCAATGCGACATTTGAAGTCCTGATAGCAATTGACACTTTAGGGGGGGATAAAAACAACCCGTTTAGCGGGTGAAAAGTAGCATTTAAGAATCAAATTAACAGTTAAGTGCAGTCTCGTATGGCTGCTAAGATAAGTTGGTCCCTTGTTAAAGAGACGCTAAAAGACTCTTTTTTTTTTTAAAGAGTTGTAGTACGGGGTTCATTCGGCAAAAATTTGGAAAACTTATACTCAGTCAAGAAAACTATATAACTAAAATCTTAAAATACTTTGAAATGAATGAACGTAAACCTGTGAAGACTCCAGGAATATCGGGTGAAAATCTTAATGACATAGCATCTTCGACATCTGCGTCGAAGACAAAATATCAAGAAGCATTAGGTTCATTGATATACACTTAGCAACAGGACTTACTTAGCCTTTGCCATAACTAATTTGTCAAGATATAATCAAGATCCCAGAGAGGAACACTGGAAAGCTGTGAAGGATATTTAGTTATATTAAAGGAACACAAAATGCTTGTTAAGTATATACTTCAGGCAAAGAGAAATTAAATGCTACATCAAATACAAGTTGGTGCACCACTGAAGATGGAAAATCATTTGGAGGTTATTTCATTAAATTAGGTAAAAATTTCATAAATTGGAAGCGGCCGAGCGGTAACGTCGCTGAACACTGGTAGTTTGGTCTGAGGTTCGAATTCCACGAATGGGCTGGCTGCATGGGTGTTTTCGTGGTTTTCCCATGTGTAATGTGTATATGAGCCAGTTTCCCTTAAAAAGTCCTCCACGAAGGTATCCCTTCCTTAAGGCAGATAGCCCTCGAGTGCTTTGCCGTAATCTAATAAACCAAAAAAAAAAAAAAAAAAAAACCATAAATTGGAAGTGCAACAAATGAAGATTAGTTGCTCTATCTACAATGGAAGCTGAACTTTTAGCAGTCTGTGAATGTGGATTTGAAGTTAAATGACATCTTTTTACTTGAAGAATTGGGACAAGATGATTTAATTCACAAACCAATGGAAATTAGAACAAACGGTCAAGCATTAATAGAGTGGATAAAAAGACCAAAAACAAAGTAGTAGTTCAAGGCACATTAATCGAAAATATTTCTTTGTAAAAGATGAATATGAAGTGAATCAAATCATTCCTCAGTTTGTTTGTTCACAAAATCAAGAAGCAGATATTTTAACAAAGTATCTATCTAGAGTGAAATTGAAAGATGAACTATTAAAGTATGGACATGACTGACTGATTAAAATTATATCTTTAAATACAAATAGGGGGGATTGATAGTATTTGTTTATAAAGTATAATTTTTAAGTTTTAATTTTTTGGCAACATTGATAAAAACCTATTTCTAAACTATAAATTGTGTAAAAGAATGAGTTAAAATGTATCTGGCATCTAGGGAGTTTGTTATGGTTTTGCAGAATGCGGTAAGGTTTGTTATGACTAATTTTATTTAATAAAGTTTTCTTTTTATATATTACTGTACTTTTATTAAAAGTAGATAATTCTTTAGAGAATATCATTTATATGCCAATTCCAAACCAACAAATTTTCAGTTGCAAGGCTGTCAGCTAAAACTTCAGCCTTTTCAGTGTCTGTGAAGTGTGTCATCTGTGTGTCATCAGCCGTTTGAAGGGACGGAATGTGTCTAGTTTGTTTGCGTATTCGGGCGACGGCACGCCAAACCGAATTATCTCCGTCTGTTTAAAAAGACGAGTTTCAGTCCTTATCTCGTTCTGTATTTTGCGAAGTTGGGCGTGGATACTAGAATCGCGTGACCTTTGCCAAAGTTTTCGCAAAAGGTTTCCGTACTTAATTTTGGAATTACTCTCAGGTGGGAGTCTGACACCCAGATAGAAAATAGGTTTTGAACCCGCAGCTCTCGCTTCTTTGAGTATGGACTCGAAATTTTGTAAACACCTGTCAAAGTCCAAATTGCTGGAAATTTTGATAGATGGAGGTAGCAGTACGTTAAGATAAATCTAAGATCTTCCCAATTTGTAGAGTCGTAATCCTGTAATTTTGAGTAACAATTTTGAACATTTAAGGTAATCAAAATTGGATAGTGATCAGAATCAAGGTCTTGAATCACTTTTATTTCATGCCCTGCAGTTCTTGATCTGGCTGCCTTTTATAATACCATACCTGTTTCTGTTAGGGCAAAGCCAAGAGGTATGACGTGAATTTAGATCACCAGCAATGATTAGGCGATTTGATATTGATAAAAGTTTATCGAAATCACTGACAGGAAAAGTACTTCTTCCACGTGCAGCTGAAAGTGGAGGTAAGTATGCTTTTACTGGGGGGAGAATTTTGGAGGGCAATTTTGATAATTGTCGCTTCCAAAATACTTAAATCGGGGGGATATCGTGCGATGCTTAATCGAACGCTTCACGTAGTACAGTGCCACCACTGTGCCCCTGCGGCTTAATGACGCTATGTACAGGTTTTCGTCGGTATGAGTGTCAGTGAGTCATAATTCCCAATTTTGGGAGTTCTCCCCTGGGTTAAGTGAGTCTCTTGGACTAATAACACGTCAAGATCGTTCTCTGTAACGTAAATACAAATAGGGGAGATTGATAGTATTGTTATAAAGTATAATTTTAAGTTTTAATTTTTGGCAACATTGATAAAAAACCTATTCTAACTATAAATTGGTGTAAAGATGAGTTAAAATGTATCTGGCATCTAGGGAGTTTGTTATGGTTTTGCAGAATGCGGTAAGGTTTGTTATGACTAATTTTATTTAATAAAGTTTTCTTTGACCTCATCGATCTTATTGATGAGGCCGTTTGTATTCCATGCACACAGGGTAAGTTCTTTGTTGGTAATAGAACTTTGTCTGTTTTTGACAATTGAATTTAAGGCCCTGATGAAAAGGTTACAGCTCTGAAAAACCTAAGACACGGGTCTAAAGTAGCCGAATAATCCTAATTTTATAGTATAACAAAACATTCATAAATTAGGAAGGCCCTTGTAAGAGCGTCTACCTGCCTAAGCTGTGGCAGGGCCCTTTGAAAGGTTTGCAGTAGAATATGCCTATCTGTAGCTGGGTCGCAGGAGATTTCAATAAGGCACTTTAAAGTAGAGGAGAAAACATCCTCAGAGTCTCCACTTTTTACTTGAGTAACCGGGGGGCTACTTGAGGCATATTCGCCGTAGCCGCCGGATTTTGACCCTTGTTTTGGGGTCGGGGCTCAGTAGGTACTTTACCTAGTGTCGCTGCTCGCTGTAAGAAGGAAAAACTGTAGTGAAATATCCTTGAAACAACAGTCAACAGTCTACACGGTTTTGTTTCCTGTTGATGTTTATTTTTAAAATTAGGCAAGACAACGAGCCTGCACTTGTTGGAGCAGTCACAGGGGCTTGTTGTACAGCTTTTGCTGTGGGTTTCGTGGTGCCCTGCGAGGCGCCTAACGGTGCACTGCCCTAGGAGCTTGTTTTTAGTGCTCTTTTTGTTGTTACCTGGGTAACGAGGACAAGATTTAAATGATGCTGGATGAGAACCTCCACATTTGCAACAGCAAGCAGGTTGATCGTCACTTAAAGTGCAATCTTTTGCCCAGTGCGGGCCAGCGCATCTCACACAACGGATGTTAAGGGTTCAAGTTTCAAAAGAATGAAAAAAATCGTTGGCACCTAAAGCATTGAGTAGGGCCTTTAGGTTGTGTTCAGACGGGGACATAAAGGGCACAAGTGGTTAAAGCCAAGCTGCATTGCTAAGTCAACTAGTCTGTGCTACGTCACATAATCTGGTTTAAGGCTCGTGGCACAAGGTTCCACATTTTTAATTTTACGCCGAGTTTGGAATAAGCGTTGACCAATCAGAGTGAAGCTAAAACGAAGCGGCTTTCTTTAGACGATTTCACTGTCATAACAAAGGCGACAGTTTTTTTTTAGTATGGAGCACATCGTATCCGAACGAAATAATGAGTTGATCTCGCAAGAAATCTACAGTACGATGATGACATGCATTTTTTAATGAGTGATCCCATCCAATATTTTTCATTTTATTATGAAAATTCTGTAAAAATTGCATGGTTGCAAAAATTTTATTTTTTTCTGTGTAAATTATTATTATTACTTTCTTTCTGTTTATTATTTTTGTATAAATTATTACTATCATTTTCTTCCTGTTCAATTATTTTTGTATTTAAGAATTAATTTATTGAAAAAGCTGGAAATATTGTATTGCTGTTTGCTTCAAATGCTGATTTTGTTTCCAAACAAACTTCATGAATTAATTTTACTAAAACATCAAATCAATATCAAGAATCTGTTGGCTTTTTTTACAGTAAAAATATTACTTAAAAAAAAATTTTTCACTTATTTAAGAATAGTCAGATTAGCCAATTCATTGGTGTAAGCTTT